GAGAAAACCAATCCTTGCTTGACGTAACGATGCAGAGATATCTAGCGAGAGTTGTTGCGGTCGATACTGTGTCTAAGTAGGTAATTAACTTTTTACAGCACTTTCGCCTGGTCGTGTTCTCAAAATCACTATATAAAATCAGAAATTTAGTGTATGAAGCTACCCTGAAGTAAAGAGGAAAAAAGTTTCCAGAAGCGCGGAATAGAAACACATTAACTATGTAAGAGATTTTAAAGATGCCAAGAAAATATGTATTGGATAATCGGTACGAGTGTCGAACCCACTCTAACATATAGACTGTTGATTGTAAAGTAACCTGGGGATCTCCACACCTCAGATGAATGCATCTAAGCTATGAGGTAGCTGCCTTTTGTCCTCCAGTCTATCTCAATCATACAGTTAAGTCGATTTGAAGAAATCTTTCATTTTCTTTCAACGTAGCGTAACCGTCGTTGCGAAACGGGCTTTTGCATATCTAGTTCTAGGGTATGTAGACGATATATAAATTGTAAGTGTTCTTTCTTACAACTTCTACTATAACTTCGGTGGAACTGGTTGACCCAACGGGCTGGCCCATCTCCAACTACACTATTATAAGATTTCTTTTACTCCTACTCCTACATATCTACTCTGGGTGTGCCAAGTCTTTTTTAACCGTGACAGTCTATTAATTGATTCCTTACTATTTAACGTTTGGACTTCAGGTTTACACCTATAATTGTCTGCTATCGCTTGACAGTCTAAATGCTAGCTAAAAGTTTTTCCTTTTAAAAAGATTGTTTATTTGGCAGCTTCGGTAACGTAAACAAATTCTGCTTGGAGACGGAGCCGCCGTCGTTACGTCTGAAGCTACTTCTACATTTAGAATTACGAGTATCTTTTCCCCCTTCGTGACATCGCTTTCGAGATTATAGTCAAGTTAAGAACAGCGCAGCAATGCAGCTTGGTACTTCTCAACCTGACCTTTCCAAAGGAGTGAAAGTATCCCGCTTCATCTGCTTTTATCTGCTTTCATCGGCGGGTACTGCAATTGCAAACTTTCAAAGCTGAAGTATCCATAGAGGACCGTAAATAAGAAGGAGAGGTATTCCCTTCATAAATGCAATATAATATTATATCTCTACTATTCCTGAGTTTCAGGATCTTTGATGAAATGGAAAAACACAAAATTCACTATACTCTTTAAACAAACCTCGTATGTGCACGAATCATTGCTTTTGAGGTCACCTAAAATCCAACCCACATGCAATTGCAATTAGTTTTCTCACTCAATTTACGAAATGTTATTTCGCCATACTGGCACTCGTACGAACGAAACTCTGCTGTGGTTAACACCATCATACTCTGGCCTACGAGGCATATCCAGAAAGTAAGTGTACCGAATTATACAAAAAAAAAAAAAATATGTATTACTTTATTATATTAGTTTTTTGTTATAGGCTACATGCCGCCCAATGGATGGAGTTCGTGAAGCGAGTATTAACATTTTGATGCCTGTCTCGAAGTAGTTTCCCACCAACTTCTTCGTGCTCTACTCAACCTCCTTCTTTACCTCCACGTCGGTTGAAAATCTCTTTGCACCCATGTGCTTCTTGAATGAGGTAAAGAAATAGTAATCTGGTGCTAGAATGGGGAAATGCGCGGCATGGCTCAAGGCGAACCATTTAAACGAGGCGAGCAGTCTATTTGCGACAATAGTCATGTGTGATCTCGCATTTGCTGTGCAGCAAGCAAACTTTTCTTGTGAATACTTTTTCTTTAAGGGTCTCACAGTATCTCAATCGGAGGCTTTCACTTCGAAACTAGGTAGGGGCGACTGGATTGATATTGTTCACGAAACGTATTGTAGCACCGACAGCTCTCAAATTACTGAAATCGAGCTAGTCCCGCTGCAAAGAGGAGAACTCTGGCCGCACCAGCGTGTTGCCAACATGACGAAATTAAAATCCCTCGGGCCGTGAGAGCCTCAGTGCACTTACTTTCTGGTTATGCCTCGTTTGTTGTCAGAAGGTGCTTAGCTGAAATTCTCACTCACATTGCTGTTGTATATACCTTAATTTCAAGTTATTGTCCTGTTAATTTGGTTATTGTTTTGACTGCTCTGTGACTGAACATGCCCACTAGTGTGAGTTAGTTACTTAGTGGCTTCATACACAGATGTAGGCAACTAACCGAAAGTGTGTTTATTAACTTGTTGACCTGTCTAATTTATTAATTACGTTTGGGATTTTCTTATTCGACGCGACGTGACCTGTCAGCTCATTAAATGTCAAAATTTAGCACAACACACAATAAGTAAGTGGCGCATTGTGTGACACTTTTCCCCAAAAAGCATATGTATGCAGACAGGCATTCATACTATTGTAGTATGTGTGTATATATGGACATCCATTTTGCTGAAAATAATAAATGCCAACAACCCGTTATGACATTGGCTTGTGGGTTTTGCAATGATGGACAATTTAATATTTGAAGTAATTAGTATTCAGTCAGGCTTCTAAAAATATATCATCATCATAACCCATCATGCGTGAGGTGTAATATCATAACACCCACCGATTCGGTCAAGTGTCACACAGTAATTCTTGCTAAGAAAAACCACTCAGCTGGAGGGAAAATATTGATAGCAGCACCAATGATTTTAGAATACCTGCAGAAAATCTATTACGCCAAACTGGTGTCTACGACCTTGAATGGTGCATAGGTTTTAGACGAGTGTCAGAAGACCCTTTACTAACATTTGAAGCACTACTGTGGTGACCAACACTAAAGAATAAGTACCAGATATAACCCCCTGAAACGAGTGTAACAATATGATGAGAACGACGTCAACAAAGGCCCGGGAGGTCATCCATGACATCACGCCAATTACATGTAAGCGGCTAATGAAGCAGCACTTACTGGGTCAAGCCCCCCAAATGTGAGTGCCATAGCGATATATAGTTCCCTTTGGGCTAAAGGAAACCTTCTGGCATTTGCAAGCCACCTAATATTTCCGTAGCTCGGAAGTCGGTAGATAAATCCCTCAGCAATACGGAAGACAACCTCATCCAGACCGATGGATCCAAATGCGAAGAAGAGATAGGAGCAGGGTTCATCTGTGACCACGCCAATAACCAAGGTAGCTTCAAACTGTGCAATGACTGCAACTATGGATTCGAAGCGGAGATTATGGGCGTTAGTAAAGGCACGAAAAGGCAACTGCTTTAGCAACGGAATCTATCAAATTTCTTATAGATATTTAAGCAGCAATTAAATGTGTCAACACAAGGTTTAAGTTTGTGATGGCATGAAGAGAGGCAATAAAATCTCCTGATGAAAACCCATGGGCCGTACGAAGGAAGTTTAGTATAAACTGTAAATGGAGGGACCATTTGTAGGAAAAAGTAAAGATGCAAACCACAATTTGGAAGAGGAGCTCGGCCGTAAATCGTTTCAGCGGTTATAAAGCCCCAGATATGTACGAGTATATGTATGCATATAAAGTCTAGCCAAAAGTAGTTCATTATATTTGAAGGCTTTTGTTAGAATTATCCGATTTATTTCAAATGAGTTTTGCCTCTCTCTTAAAAACCACAATCGATTCTCACAGTTTTCTTTTGAGGGGAATTCTTCAAGCCAAATCATTTGCCATAAACAGGAATAGATAGTGCGAGATCTGGACTATAAGACGAAAGCATATATACCGCCCAACCAAGCTCTTGAAGCTTCTGCGAGTTACTATCGGTATGTGTGGTCTGTGGTTGTGCTGATGAAACACAATTCCGCTTTGGTTGGCCTAAGCTGGACGCTTCTGGGCGATTGTTTTCTTCAGAGCCCATAGAAAGGAACACATAGTAAATATTTGGTGCGAGATCCGGGATTCTTCCGTTTCACTATCGGTGCGTGTGGTCTGACATTGTGCTGATGAAACACAATTTCCCTCCGGCTGGCCAAATCTTGTGCGCGATTGATAACTTCAGTCGTATGCATTAAGAGTTTGGCAGTGGCAATGGGAGAGCAGCTCATAGCGGATGATTCCTTGGCAATTCCGCCGAATCCACAACTTGCAGGCTGTTTGTGCCGGCTCACCGCCACGGTTACGATTGTGGTTGGCGGTATTGTTTGAGGGGTTCTCCCTTTCAAAAATGAACTGATTTTCTTAAGACTTAGCAGCTATTCCGAGATGAAAATTCGGTCCATGGGGCTTTCTTAGTTGAGTTATGTGACACTTATACATCGAGCTTCTTTGTGACTTTTTCAAGTGGTTTCAAACTGTTTTTTGTGCAATGCCCCTTGGCAATTGAAACAATGATTGTCAGGTTCGACGATTTCCATTATTTTATCTACATTTTCGACAAGTGGAATTCCACAAGGCGGAGCATCTCTTATATAAAAATTATCAGAACGAAATCGATGAAACCAAAGTAGTGCTTGATTGACTATTACAGTGTTAGGACCATGAACCAAGTTGCCTGACTTACGTTTTCGCGTTTATCCAAGAAAAATTTTAGAATATATCGTGTTTTCACTTTGCTGCTGTCCATTTTTTACGTGCGCTCAAACACCACTGATTTAAGCGATCCACACTTCTCCTATTACTTTTATTAGCACAAAATATTATCTTTCTAACGTCATCTAGCGTAATCCAATCGCAGTAATATGACCCGAGGTACAGATCACTAAGACTATCTATTACAAATATACCAGACCAAGAAAGGGAGAAGTTTGCTGTCGGACTGTCTAATACCCCGCCGCATTAACCTGTGAGTGTTGCGGCTGAGGATGAAAAATTTATGAAGACTATGATTATGGTCCTTCCATATAAAATTGTGGGCACAATCGAACAAAACAACTTAGATATTACAAAAATTTTATAAGACTTTTGGTTTTGTCAGTAACTAGTCCAAACCTTTTAGATCATCTGCCACAGAGACAGAGAGAGCATTGAACAGCACTTAGTTTTCCAGCTGGAAGGCGTAAAACAATGGCGATCGATGCGAATGAGGTCAAATGTTCTATAGCTTTTAGCGTCTTCAATTATTATATTTATTACATTTAGTGCATGCAGCACACTTGTGTACATATGTACATATATGAAAATATGAGGTTCTACATACGAGTCTACACTATCTCCATGCACATAACAAGTTGAGTTTTTCTACATCTTGCTTTGCTCGCGCTGCAATCGTTTGCCGTACGTGCGTGAAACCAAATTCCATGAGTCCATATATCTATCCATGCACATCGAAATGCATTTCTGTTCCGCGGTATCTAGTTTTGTACCCGGCTTGACAATACACTTCTTGAAACACTTCTCCGTCACTTTGGTTAGCAATTCTTGTGCATTGGCCACTGCGATTTTCTGTTTGACCTGTTCAATAAGTTCGCCTGTTTTAATATCCTCTGACATTCTATTGGCATGAAATGGGAATCAATTGGTTTACAAAAAAAAAAAACAAAAAAAAAAAAATGCGACGACTTTGACAAGGGAAAACAAATAAATAAATGAAAAATAAAACTGTGCAGTAGTGTCGCTTTGTAATACTCCATACATGGCAGTAGAAGTGGCTTACTTGATGCATTATAGCTTGACTAGGGGCATTGGTTCATGCAGCGCGCAAATTTCGGTCTTAGACCAAGTGTCCTCTGGGTAGCCAACAATCATCCGTCTCCATAGCGAAATATTCAAAGATGGGCTGAGGCTGATCGACTTCACTGGGGTCCAAAATATGTGAAACCAGTTTAGCCAAATGGACCATATTGTGATTGATGGAAGGCATGGATGGTGGGTACGTTCCAAGGATCTACACCGACTTAGATCACTATCTTGCCGCAAGAAAGATATTATATACACCCTCCTCTATGTATCAAAGAAAGCTCTTCTACAAACATATGTAGGGCTCCACGACGACAAGTTGCAATCATAAGAGACTGCGAACGGGTTTTCAAACGACTTATACTTCTGCTCTCTGAGAGTATACAACAGTGACTATGGGACGGCTGTTCAAGCAACCTACGTATAGCTGCATTCGAAACTATCGGGTTTAGAAAAGGTCGAAAGCACAACTAATACGATGAGGATTGCCGTATCTTAGTGGCGAGTAAAAACGCTGCTTACCTTGCAGCATTGCGAACGACCGCTACACGTTCGTTGTGGAAAAGATAACGAGAATTGAAGAAGGATTCAAGATGCATATACATAATTTTATAATTGGCGCTTTTGTAACCGCTGAAGCGATTATTCGACCGAGCTCCTCCTCGAATTTGTGGTTTTGCGTCTTGATATTTATCCAACAAATGCAGAGACCTACAGCTTATACTAAGTCGCCTCCGAACGGTTGATGGTTTTTTTATGAAGAGCCTTTTTTCATGTCCGAAAAACGCTCAGTGGGGTGGACATTCCCTGCCGAGGGGCGACCACATTTAGAAAATTTAACTTAATTTTTTATTTAATTTAATTTTATTTTATTTTCCATAACTTCTAGATATTGGTCGCAACGGGATTTGTGCACGAACCTTTTGAATGTCAGTACGCAATGCTCACCAATCGGAGGGAACTCATGTAGGTATCAAAGTGGTATTCTGATGACCGACGTCCAGCGCATACTTCCTTTATGGAGATAAGACTTATCCAGCCTACTGAATGGCATTAAGTATGCAACCCCCTTTGGTGATGAACCCTAAAACCCAATTGGTAATATAATAGAAAAAGCTGGTTAAAAAAACAACTGGCTCGATCAGCTTACTGGTTGAGATTTCAAAACATGGTCGTGAAGAGCTGACAAGATGCATTCTTCCGCCTCTTGCAAAATATAGTCGGACGAAAGCATGCGCGACAATTGGAACTTAAAGGTGCTCAGCGCAATCCATTTAAAAGGAGTGTCCCTATGTTTGCGCCTATCGCCGCCAGAGTAATCTGCTAAATATCGCATATAATGTCTTATCAAGCGTAATGTTTGAAAGACTAAAGCCCTCCGTCGACAATGGCCTTAGTGTGGCCTTAGATCTGGTAAATCCACAATTGGCCAGATATTCACCATGCGCCAAATCTGGGTAAAAAAAAGCCTTGAAATCATGATTGACACCTACACCATTATGTCTGAATTTGGTATTCCTGCAAAGCTTTACGGCTGTGTAAGCTGACGCTGGAGAACACCCGAAGTACAGCTAGAATTGGGAAAGATCTCTCCTAGCGAAAACGACTTTTTGGTGCTAGAAAAAGTATTAATAGCTGCAACGCTAAATAGACGAATAAAGTAATGAAATTGATTTTATTTGCCGCGATTGTGGTAACCCTGCGGCCTTGAAATTCGCTTTCTCTTCTCCCGACATCCTACTCCTCTCCATTGATATATTTGCCATCGCTCTAGCTTGTTTAGTTCGCCTGCTGTGTCGTGTTGAGCAACGTGTGTTCGCAGTGCCCATCACGAAAATGGAATAACGAAATCAAGAGCAATTTTTGCGCCGAATCGAGCGAAAAAGCTTCAGAAACGTACGCTAAAATTGCAAAAGTGCATGGTGATAGTGCTCTCAGTCATACCCAGGTATTTCGATGGCATAAAGAGTTTAAGGAGGGACGTGAAAGCGTGGAAGACGAGGCGCGGAGCGAGAGACCAGTCGAGGTGCGGACTGACACGAATGCGCATCATGTGCGCGCTCTAAACCGAGAAGATCGACGTCTAACAGTTCGATTGTCAGAACTAGGTATGAACTGTGAAACAGTCAGACAGATGTGCCTCAGCATGTCCCATTATTTGGCCTCGTAAAGGGATCGCCGTGTTGCAACAACCACCTTATTCGCCCGATATGTCACCCTGTGACTTTTTTTGGTTCCCTAGAACAAAATCGTTGGTCAAAGAAACCCATTTTGAGTCGATTGGGGACATCCAGGTGGTCGTGACGAAGGCACTCGCGGAAATCCCAGTCGAAGTGTTCCAGTAATATAACGAAGCATGGAAAACGAGTTGGAATCGTTGCATAGCTGCCCAAAGGGGCTACTTTGACGGAGATGGCAGAGTTGTAGAATAATTTTGAAATATACGGTTTTTATGGAATCAGTCCATTACTTAATTGTCACTCCTCGCAGTGATATCATAGGTCTTAACAACCACACCGTTAGTTCTGACTTCTTCAGATTTGATAAAGAAGCGAAGATTTGAGACTGGGCTCCCACGTCACTGTTAGAGAACAAAAAGTGGCCACAGGCAAACGGTCACAGGAATAGCCTCGTTAGGTTAAACGAAGAGAAGTAGGGATCTCTGAAGTCCTTCACACATGCAGAATGCACATAAAATCATATTTCTGATAATTTTCGATTTGTATCCTTTTATAATTAATTAAAAAAACTTACTCGTTGTATTTATTGTTTCCGTAGTGTGTCAAAGTAAAGTAATTTATTTCCAAAGTATTCGTAGGGCGCGATTTTATTTTAGCTAAATATATTTAGTATGTTTGTATGTAGGTATGTAGATATATTTGTTGCACAGCTAAATTTTTAAACATTCGCTGCTTGATAACACTTGAACTCTTTGCTGTTTTTGCTTTATTTTACACGAAACAGTTAATTTTCATTAAAAACTTTTGCATTTTTTATCACCCACATATGTATATACATAGGTACGCATGTATGTTGTTATGTGTACAAACTAATAAATAAAAAGGAAAGCCAAACTCAACAATGTTTTCTGTCTTACAGGAAATTATAATTGTTGCAATCACGAATTGGGGCAGGCGAGACTGTTGCTAATGAAGAAGCTGTTGGGGCGATAGAAATAAATAGAAAACCACACATTCTTACATACTCTCATGCATATATGTAGATATGTAAGTATGTATGTATGTATGTAATGTTCACCTCCTTTCTCGCTTGCTTCATGCACAGTCCACATTTTTGGCGTTTGTCTATTTGTGTTGTGCTTTTAAGTGTGACAATTCACTTTTGCTATTTTTGTATGCACAAATTGTTGTTGCTATTATTGTTTCTGTTTTTTGCTAGTTTTTTTTTTTGTTTTTTATTCTATTTTTTATTGCAACTATTTTCGTGAGTACGTGAATTTGTGACAAAAATTCATTTGCTGTAGGAAGATTTCCCCATTTCGCAGCCAGCAAGCCATTTGACATATGTCAAACCGAATTTCGCTGCAACGACTAAGGCGGCAAAACGAAATTTTCAACGAATGCCGTTACATGGTGGGGTAAGGCAATAGAGAGGAGGTTGAACTGTCGGGCATTTGGACTCGTCGGAATGACAACAGCAGCACAACACAGCATTTGCGTCAATTGCGCCTACATACTCAAATGTACCAACATATGTACGAGTATGTCTACATGTGTTTGTAGAGAGGCTTACTAATAAGTATGTATGTATGTATGTAAATGCTATTTACGAGTGCAAATGTATATATGCATGTATGCAGCCTGCTGCAGGTGAAGGAACGACAAATTGTGGCGGCAGCAATGTGACATGGGAAGATACATATGACAACAATGAGGAAATTGCAACAACAAAGCTTAGACAAAGGAAATTAATTGTATGATTTGTGCTTGTGTCCTGCCTAGTTTTGTTTTTGCACTACATTTAAGTGGCTAATAAATTCACTTATTTTTCCAAAAAAACACGCCTTGAGTAAATACATATATACACGTATATGCACTTATGTATGTATATGTACGTATTATTCTCGCATAATAAATATTAATTTAAACACTTTTCACACTTACACTTTCTTTATATTTATGTATGTATGTGTGTAAATATTTATTTATTTATTTTTCAACGCAGCTCCACTAACTGACTACCGACTTCAGAAAATTTCCACATACATATGTAAAAAAAAAACTCTCAAATTCTCTCTGTTATAAATCTATAGCCGTTCTGTACGCCTCGAAAAGTGTGAAAGCACTGAAAGCATTTCTATTTGGCCCAAAGTGCAAAGGCAAAAGCAAAATCAAAAGTGCTAAAAGGCGACCGACGCTTTCACATACACATGTACATTCGCCGTCGCCGTCACTGGCGCTGTCGCTACCGTCAGCATTTCGTCTTCGCCGACATCGCCTTTGTTATTGTCCACCTACATATACGAGTATGACATACATGCATACATAACGACACATTTCTATGCGCCTGATTTGTTTCATTACAAATATTGCTATTGTATGCGTGTGTGTATGTGTGTATGTGTGTATGTGTGGTAAACAAAAACAAACATGAAAAACTGAAATTCACATTCACCTACTAACCCAGACCGGTGTGGCGCAACGAAGGCACAAATGTAGTAGCAAAGTCACCGACAATAGCCGAGATACACCGTCGTCGTCGTCGTCGTTGTTGTCGTCGTCGTTGTTGTTGGTATTAGTGTGCAGGCAATTAAAGTGCGCTGAAACCTCTTTCTAGCTCACGTCATTTTTTTGAACTTCTAAGAAGCACACACACACACATGTACATATGTAAATATGTATGTGTATTAACACAAGCATACGTACATACATACATACATCTGCAGG